TTAGATAAAATTATAATCAAAATGCACAAATGTGCGAATACACAGCCCCTATCTGAATGGAACAGCCAATAGCTGAAAAAGTGGAAGGACAGGTCAGAAGACCGCCTAGAATTCCGACACTAGCAACGCTAGAATAACAACACTCGAAACTACACTAAACCAACTACACAAACAATAACGAAAACTACTAAAAAAAGATCCTACCAGGATAATACCCGAGTGTCAGATCCCAACAGGATAATAAGTTGACACTCGGGCACACAGAGGCCAACGACCCAAACCAAAAACACATACCTAAACAACACAAACAACACAGAAACAAAGAAACAAAAGGACCTAAACTACCAACAAACAAAGCCCTTCCCACAGCAGAAACACCAATCCCAGCACGAGGCACCAGCAGAAACACAGACAATCACTCCCAGAGTCTGAACCGCAATCCAGGAATCCGCTCCCGAAACTGCCGAGACGCCTAGCTGAAGCCGAAACCCAAGACCCGGACAACTCCAAGAAGAGAAGCCGACCCATAGCTGGAAAGCATCGACCAGCCCAACCACACATCTGGCTTCCCAGGACCCGGCCAACACCACTGGCCTAGATCCAAGCATGTCGGACGTCCCACACCACAACACCAGAGGATTCGGGACACCGGAGGCTCGAATCGACCCACCTCAGCCCTGACTTACTTGACTCAGACGAGCAGAGCAACTAGGATCGCACTCAACCCCAACCACACACTCCCTCGCAACAACCCATCGCCATCCAGACACCCAGACGCCGAGCTCGCCACTGGAGACGAGCCGAAATGAAGCCAACCATCAGGCCAACCACTGGTTAAAAAATTACAAATTAAATAGATTAAAAATTTTAAAATCTCAAATAAACCGAGAAACAAAGAATAATTCCTCTGAATCTTCAATTTGAGGATAAGAACTCATCCTCCTCACCTTCACTCCAAAACCCAACCCGCAATCAACCCAATGTCAATCTATTCTCTATCGACTGGCTTCACCGCCACCACCTCCACCAAGCCTCTCTCCTCCTCCGCCCTCGGTCCCTCCTCCTCCTCCCTCCTCCGCCTCCCCGTCAAACAACTCTCCTCCCTCTCCCTCAATGCTTCGCCTTCCAGACCGCGTCTGACCATCTCCGCCTCAATGGAGGCCGGAGTCGGTGTCATGGGAACGAAGCTGGGCATGATGACATACTTCGACTCCACTGGCACCGTCGTTCCGGTGACGGTCGTCGGATTCCGAGAGGGAAACATCGTTACTCAGGTCAAGACCGAAGCCACGGACGGCTACGACGCAGTTCAGGTAGGGTACCGCCGGGTTCGCGACCGGAAATTGACGAAGCCGGAGTTAGGTCATCTTGAGAAGTCCGGCATTATCCCGCTGAGGCACTTGCAGGAGTTCAGGCTTCAGTCGGTCGAAGGTTTCGAGCCTAATCAGCGGTTGGTGGTGGACGAGATCTTTAAGGAGGGTGATCTGGTCGACGTCTCTGGCACGACAATCGGGAAAGGGTTCCAAGGTACGATTTGATTAATGTTTTCGCTTTTATATTAATTTTTTGTTGTTGCCTGGAATGCTATAGTTGTTCATTTCCTTGGGTGTCTGTGTAAATGAAAATGGTGAATTGATACTTTGCTTATATTTGTAAGTTTTCTGGCGATGAGAATGTTTTCAATTGTAAATAATGTATTGTCCTGAATATGGCTGTGGCAACAAAATACTTTCTGCTGTTGAGTTTTTATACATTAGTACCATTCCTCCTGTATTCTTGACAGGGCCTGAATTATTAAGCTACTTGATGTGGTGTTGATGAACATATTCTCATTAGGAAAATGGGATGGGGAGTGTGCAGAAAATGTTCTCATTCCTCATGTATCCATATCATGCTTTAGAAAATATGCCAACAATTTGAGGCTAATAGGAAGTTAATATCCAAAATTGCAAGTGAATTATCAATTATACAGTTTTAAACAGGGCCGTTATTTTACTGTGGATTTCAATCTACAATGAGTGTAGAATCCCGTCTCAAGATGTTTGATTACTGTGGTCGGATCACAAGAATAATCTTCAAATGTTACTGTTGGAGGTTGTATTGACAAGTTGTTTTCTGTCTTCGATTTGCCTTAAAAACATAAGAAAGACAATGCTGTCCGCCAATTTTTATGCCATGAACATGACAGAAATCTGGATTAATACCACCAATTTGTTTGCTGACTTCGATTTGCCTTAAAAACTTAAGAAAGACATTGTTTGTTGTGCACCAATTTTTATGCCATGAACATGAAAGAAATCTGGATTAATGTTTGTGCAGCAATTTTATACCTCCGATGATGAGTCTCACATTGTTTACTTACTACTGAACCTCGTTTTGATGGTCGGAAAATGGAAAATGCATTTGTTTGATGAAGCTTTAGCTACATGATATTTGGACAGGTGGGATCAAGAGACACAACTTCAAGAGAGGTCCAATGACACATGGGTCAAAGAGCCACCGACAACTGGGATCGATTGGTGCTGGGACTACGCCTGGGCGCGTGTACAAAGGCAAGAAAATGCCTGGGAGAATGGGGGGCACCACTGCTAAGATAAGAAAACTGAAGGTCGTGAAAATCGACAATGACCTCAATGTGGTGATGATCAAGGGGGCCGTGCCTGGGAAGCCCGGGAATCTCCTCCGAATTACTCCCGCCAAAATCGTGGGGAAGAATATTCCTAAAAACTAGTCCTTTTTTTATTATGTACTTGATTCATGTTCTTTGTTTGTGTAGCAATTT